CCGATACCCTTGCCGTAGAGCTGGTCATGCATGTTGTTGTTTGGGCACGAGCATGGCCACATGTGAAATAGTCACTGCTGCGGGACGGCGCGGAAGTTAACCTGGTGGGTCCATTGGGTCAACGTGGCAACAATTCAAGCATCTCCAAGCGACACGGCGGCGGGTCAATGCTGGCCATGCAAGCTTAGGACCTGGGATGAACAAACTTACATAGTTTTGGGACCCAAAACTGCAGTTTCAAAGTTATAGGACTAAACTGGCACAGCTCCAATAGTTTTAGGACCTAAAACTGCAGTTTCAAAGTTATAGGACTAAACTGACACACCTCCAATAATTTTACGACTTATGATGCATTTTACTCTAAAGTGACGACATTTATCACTAGATGGAAAGTTGATTTTAAAATGAAATTAGGAACGGCGGAAAGGACTTAGATGTATCATCCAATATCGATCGGAGTTAAAATAAAATCCACCAAACTGGAAAGAGACTATGAGTGTCAATGTACAATTACATTTTTGCCCCTTACATCAAGGTCTCCCTATCATTGGAAGTTTGCACTCCGTAATACTGACTATGAATTAATCTCACCTGTTAGATTAGAAAAAAAAATAGACCGCCCTTACTAACTTTTGGGTACTGTATAAGAACTTGAAAACTGACTGACAAAAAGTATAACTGATATAGTTCGACAAAAAGGCAGCCTATAAGACCATGTACTCCCTGTGTTCCGAATTACTCGTCGTGGTTTTAGTTCAAATTTGAATTAAAACCGCGACGAGTAATTTGGAACGGAGGGAGTACAATGCTAGGTGCTTGGACAAGTGCTTCGAAAAACAAATCAATTTTTCCTTAAACGCCAGTGCTTATTTCTGGAGCAGAGGTGCCTAAATAAGCACCTGCGCTCTGCAAATAAGCACAAGTGCTTAAAAAACAGTTTATTTTCCTAAGCCCTTCTATTAGCACTTAGCGTTGTACGCAAAGGTGCTGGAGGACCCATCCATAGACTAAACCACCATCCATGCGGGTTAACTGGCTACTCGCTCCAGTTGGGTGCATGGTACCATAAAAGGCTCCCTGTGCTCTGGCTGCTGAATCAAAGACTGCATATGGAGTCAATGCGTACATGAGTGTATAACCTGCGTAGGGGAAGAAATCCTTTTTTGGTCAAAAACCACATCATTCCTGCATAGCTAAGAGCCCAACACACCCCACCAGCATATGGGAAGAAAACCCGTGTATTCTAGGGTGGCAGTTCTTCTATTTATTCACGCTAGCACATACTATTACTAAAATTTGCTCAATCTGATTATAGTTATTAATTTATTATACACTCTGTTCATAGGGTTAGACAATTTCCTTCCGAGACTAAGGATCCATTTCTGTATGTACTCCCTCCGTAAAGAAATGTAAGAGCGTTTAGATAAGTAGTGATCTAAACGCTCTTATATTTCTTTACGGTGGATTTCTTTACGGTGGGAGTATTTGAGTTGCA